CCTCCCATCTTGAATTGCTTCAAAATCCCACACAAAACGAGATGGATGAAACCCTCCCAATACTGTGGACTTGATAAGTTCCCTCTGGTATTCCAACAGGTGATCTAAATTTGAATGCGGGTGTCAAACAAAATGTCTTTGGACCCACAAAAAGAAGTGTTTCCATTAGGGCCTCTCTCTCGCACGGCTCCCAAAAAGCCATGCTACCCATTTGGAGGCCCAGCGGAAGTCACTTCCCCGACAGTTGATCAAGGGCCTGTGTCCATTGAACTAAACGAGCGCCACTGTTGGAGCCACCTAAAAAAGGGGACATGGAGGAAACAGAAAACACAAAACAAAACCTTCCCCAGAAAAAGAAACAACAACAGCAACAAAAACACTTTGTCTGAGAGGCAACAAATAATGCAAAAAAAAAAACCTTCCCCAACTTGGAGAAAAAGAAACAACCACACAAAAGGAAAAATGAAGAAAGAAAAACACCTCCGGGGGAAAGCCCAACTTCCGGAGAGGCCCCCCCATGAATTGAAGCTCCTTGATCTCCTTCCAGCGCGAGTCCCAGGTGCTGCGCAGGATCTGCGCAAGCGAGGACGCGGACGCGGCCCGGCGAGTGCTACGCTCCCTCAGACTCGCATGATCTCGCATGGCCTGGGGGGGGGGAGTGCTGCAAAAATCGGATAGGAAAAGATGCGTCCTCCTCCCACGAGTTATCCGTGGGCACAGTGTTCTCCTTTGGCCAAGAAACGCGAAGGGACGAGATTGCGTTCTTGGTTTGCGAGTCAGAGATTGAGGGGGGTCAGGGTCACAAACTGCTAAGCGCAATTTGCGGAAAACTTTGTTTTAACCTCAATACATCCCTCCAAGCGCAACTGGAAGGCCCCAGAAAACCCCCAGTCCACCGGCTAAGCCGCACGCAATACTTTGGAGGCGGAAAGCTTGTGGGCTTCTCGAAGACAAAGATGATGCGTGGCAAGGGCGGAAAAAAACGCTAAGACTAGAACATTTGTGGCAGTCAGGGCCATGTCCCTCTAAAATCATTGAAAAATATCAAACGAGCACCTTCACCAACTAGAAGTGCTAGTGAGGTCTTGACCATGTTGGATCAGCTTTCACGTGGCAAAACTGGCTTCACACCAAACTCAAAAACGACCTCTCTGCGCTTCACAGTATGCGGAGTTGATTTTCTCGTGTTTGCCCAAAGCACGCAAACAGAACGCCCCATGATCCGCAGGTGACATCATCGCAAGATCACTCCACGCAAGGGGCGTCGGATGGTGAGTCAGAAGAGTGTTCGCTGACTACGCGGGATGCCCAAGGAGCCAGTTTGACGGTTGCGGCTGAGCACCCCACTCAATCGGGCAATGATTACAACAAAAGCAACCACGTGCTTGCCTATTTTATTTCATGTATTTTTTAAAAGAAGGTTACACTAGGGTGAAAGTAGATGGCACACTTCTCTTGACTTGGGCAAGTAAAGGGGATGACTAAACCCAAATAGGGGAATTGTGCATCGATCCTGTGAGAATGTGCCAGGCAATTTTCCGACCTCCCCCCCCGCCCATTGTCCGAATTCTCGGGCAAACTGAATTCCCCCCCCCCTATGACGGACACTTAGGCAACCAATGGTTTTCTACAGTACTGCCAAGACATGCTGTGCCAGCCCTGGGCCCTACGACCCTCAGTTTTCCAGATTGGACTGAAAGTCGGCCCGGTTGTTCAGTTTCGAGCACCAGTTGTGGCTCGTCTTCGAACACATCCAGTGGGGCTCAGTGGGCGCATGCGAAAGTCGGGCTCCACTCTTGCTCCTTCGGGTTTCAGCTTAGGTCTCAAGACGGAGGGTGGGAAGGCCTTGGGGTTTACGACATCGCGGTTTAGGGGTTGATTCCTGTTCAATGCTTCTCAACCATCGTTCTTTCCAAACACCGGATCCGTTTTCCCTCGGTGTCCGGAGGTGTTCTGGAAAGAAGGATCCCTGGAAAGAATGGGGAAGGTACCCCTAGAATCACGGTTTAGGGTTGAGGCTTTCCAGAGTCGACACAGATTCGTGTTTGGTGCAAGGTTTTGGCTTTAGGGTTTAGGTTTCGGTTTCGGGTCTAGGACCATCACAGTTGGGGGTTCAGGTTTCCTTTTAGGGTCAACACGGTTTGGGGTTTGGGGCTTGGATTTGGATTTGTTGTAGAGAAACGATTTAGGGTTTGGTGGAGGCTTTGCGGGTTAGGGTTTTCTCGGTTTAGGGTTAGGTTGTGGCGTAGGCTTTGCGGTTTAGGGTTTTTAAGAGCTTTGGTTCGAGCGTTGTGAGACTCTCGTGTGTCACACGTCATTCGTCGCCCGTCTGGAGCAAAAGCACGATCAAAAAAGGAGAGCTTTCCCCCGCATTCAAACACAAGGTACTTCCCGAGTCTTGTGCACAGGGCTGTGGTTGCAATGGAATCCACTTCCGTGATACACCAAAAAGGGATTCCCAAAGACGAACTCCCCTTTTCAAAGCAAAAAGATTCCCAAAAGTATCACAGAATTGGTTGGATAAACCCCGGAGTGATCAACGCACTCGCCAGGGCGCATGGCATGCCCGGCTCGCATGCCCAGATGGCCTGCAAATCTCCCCCCTGGCGGGCTTGAGCCGTCCTCACCTGGCGATGGCTCAGCAGAGGGCGAACCTGACTTGAGTGCATTGCCCAATTGGAAAAAAAAACGGGGGCACATGGCCATGGGGCATGACCTATGGCTCCATTTTGGGTGGATGAACATCCATTTGCCGCCTATCTTGATGTTCATGAGGGGAAAACAGGGTTTTGACCCACGGCCATATGTTGAAACCCAGAGTGAGAAAAACTTTGGAGGGACCGTGCTGTCAGGGTCCCGCGAATAACTTTAGCAATCATGTATGGATCCACAGAAGGAAGGTCCGCTTCCGCAACCCGGCGGCGGCACACTTAGCATGAGTACATGTGGTGGTTTTTGTTGCTGCTGGTTCATGCTTGAGGGACTCCGCCCCACCAGCTTAGAGCCCGGACGACAGCGCTCAATGTGTTCTCTTTTTGCTTTTCTCCCCAGAACACTCCCCCGCCTGGACGCAACACTTTGGTCAAGGCACGTGGCTTTTCACCGGTTTTTATCCAAACACATTGAAAACGTAAAAGATACCCAAGTGACGCGCCCAAAAGTTTGTGATGCTTCACCCGGCAATTGTCAATTCCGTTCGTCCCGGCTGTCTCGATCAGCGAAACGACCACCAGTCGACGCCTCCGCCAGTCCTTCCGCGAGCTGCGCACGCAGCTCCGCCACATCCTCGCCCAGCCTGCGAGGGAAGACCTTCCCCTGCTTGAGAGTGGGCCTTATTGCAACCTGATCTATCCTTTGGGGCTCCCTGCACCAGAGGGGATGGGAACCCCAATGTTTCTAATGTTGACCCAGGAGTAATAAACCCGTCCCATTATTGGGGTGTTCCCTCCAAATGTGGACTGAATCCCCACTAAAAGGAATTGGACACCCCCCGATCAAAATCAAACAGGGCTTCTACTTAGATCCGGGTGTAGCATTAGGTCTCAAAAGAACCAAAACCAAAGTGGCTGTGGGTCAAAGCCCTGTTTCCACCTGGTGAACATCAAAAATAGGCTTCAAATGGGTCTTCATCCCCCCAAAAAAATTGCTCGCCATAGGTTATGACCCATGGCCACGTGACTTCAGACAAGCCCAGAGCTCCCCCGGGAGTACCAGGATGGCTTCTAAGCGCCACCTCGAGGTTTCAGGTATTGATTGGAAACCAAGCGAAGCGAGCCGGAAAGCGTCTTACAGAAAAGAGCAGTTGGCACAGACGGAGAAAAAAAAGAAAGAAAGAAAAAAAAGCTGAATAAGAAGGGATATTAACAGGGCACCTCCCATTTGACACTTTCTTTGGACTCACCCCACCGTCTCCCCAAAACTTCAAAATCTTCCAGAACCAAAACTGGTTGCCTGTTTAAAACCCCTAAATCAGGCTTCCTTTTGGCCAGAGTCGGGTGTGTGCTTGGCTTTGAGGGGATCCCCCCAAAAGTTGCGGTTCGCCTTTTGCCTTTCCCTTTCGTGGCACCCGCAGAAAGAAAAATGACGCGCCCAACCTTCCAAAGGAGCCCAAGCCAAGCCCCGACGGCCTCTCGCCCAGGCGGCCACACTCCTCCTGCAGCTCCAAGAAGCCGTCCCGCAGCTCCTGAAGCCATGTGGGGATTTCGCAGCTCCCGGGAGTTCGTCGGGGTTGGTTTCAAAACACATCCGGCCTTCCCATTGGAACCAAAAATGGGGGGGGGCTCGATGCTCTTTCGTTTTCCCCCCCCCCCCACCAACCAAAAAAAAAAGGAAAAAAGGGAAAAAAGGGAAGGGAGCCCCCAAAATGTGGCTGGCCTTGAATGGGTTGGGAACCAGAAATTGGAGGTTGTTTTCTTGAGGGACCCCAAAAAAATCAATTTCGGTTTTCCTTTGGTGTCCATTTAAATATTTGGAGCAGAAGACATATCCATGTGTGAGCGTCGATGTTCCTTTGGTTTTCCCTTGAACCAACCCCCAAAAGGGGGGGGTTCCACCCAATGTGAAGCAGGGATTTGGACCGGGACCTAACACGGATTGGTTCCCTAAAACTACCCCCAAACATGTACCCTCAAAAAAATACCAGGCCCTTTTTTTGGTACAAGAAACAGGCCTACAACCCAGGAAACTCAACGTCGAAGGTCACAAACAAGCCATTGGCTCGAGAGAACGAGATTCCTCGAGCTGGCTTCGATGTTGTTGACAATGTCTAGGGAACTCGCACCAAAAGAGAGCGATGAGCGACTAAACAGATTGTTTCAAAATGGGGGCAGGATCTGATCCTAAAATCCCAACACAATGGGAACCAAGGAAAGAGGAAGCAGAGGAAAGAGAGGAAATTATATTACTTGAGAAACCACCTTTGGTAAAAACTCTTTCGAGACTCCCTCACTCCAGGCATTATTCGTATCTGTGTTGCCATCTTCTTGTGACGAATCGGAGAGAAGTTCGGCGGCCCTCTAAGAGGCATCAACCATCAAAACTTAGGAGTGCTCTGCTAGCGTTTTCAAAAACGGAAGCCGGAAAAGGTCAGCAATGTTTTTGACAATTTTCAGAAATGGAACGGAAGCCAGCTCAGATCACAGACAGAGACAGACGGACAGATGGACAGACGGACAGACGCACAGACGGACAGACAGACGGACAGACGGACAGACGGATAGACAGACAGACAGACAGACGGACGGACAGACAGACAGACAGCCAGGTATGTAAGCAGACAGCCAGGCAGACAAGCAGGCAGACAAACAGGCAGACAAGCAAAAATACAAACAAATATACAAACAAACAATACCAAGTCACAGGGTCAATGGGGCACGTCAAAGAGCAACCCTTGGAATAACCCTTGGTTAACGCCAGAAAGCTAAGCTCGGCACATCGCCGTCATCTGAGCTCGATGGCAGGGGCTGCGAAGGAACCGAGGACAAGGCCTGGCGCAGAGCTCCAGGGCTCCTGGGCCCCAAAACTCCGCGAAGCAAAGTGAGATATTCATCGGGGCTCAAAGCAGCGGGTAATTCCAGTCCCGATTTCAAAATAGGGCCAAAAGCGGACAATGGCAATGACGCAAAGGCCACTAACCGGGTTTTCCTTTGAGGCCACCCAACAAGTGACATCCTCAAACAGAAGACACCGCCTTGTGGAGAGCCACAAAATAGGGGCAAACCATCCACAGGTGTGGGAGCCGAAGTTGAAGGATTTCCCCGCCAGGCAAAAGTTGGGATGGATGAAACTGTCGGAATACAGGTTACATCTAGGTCCTCCAGTGGAGAGGTTAGAATAAGGGTACCAACTTTTTTTCTGTAGTCTACTTTAGTAGGGCAACCCTCCCCAAAAAGCGGGTAAAAGGGCACCACTGGGCGACCTAGTAAACCACCAATCCCAACTGGTTTAGAATTTGTTCGCATCCACAGTAGACAGGTAGGGGAAAGCCATTCCAGTTTGTCTGGCTTCGTCGCCCGCGGGCTGAATGGAGGCCGTTCACTCAGATTCTCACCTTGGATGTAGAAGGCCGCGGCCCATCAGTTCGCTGACGGAGATGTCCATTTAGGTTTCATGGGTTTCTTGCTGCAATCTTCCGAAAGCATTTAAGGTGCGTCAAGACTTCTGGTGTTCCTTGTGCTGGCCTCATTATTTTACCATGGTCAAAGTCACCCCCTAAGTGGTGGGTTAAAGTTTCTGACTTTGACAACCCAGAAACCGTCAAAATAATGACCCCTGTTGTGGTTTCCCTTTAAAAAAACACAAGATTGTGTTGTTGTTGTTGTTGTTGTTGTTGTTGTTGTTGTTGTTGTTGTTGTTGTTGTTGTTGTTGTTGTTGTTGTTGTTGTTGTTGTTGTTGTTGTTGTTGTTGTTGTTCTTGTTCTTGTTCTTGTTCTTGTTCTTGTTCTTGTTCTTGTTCTTGTTCTTGTTCTTGTTCTTGTTCTTGTTCTTGTTCTTGTTCTTGTTCTTGTTCTTGTTCTTGTTCTTGTTCTTGTTCTTGTTCTTGTTCTTGTTCTTGTTCTTGTTCTTGTTCTTGTTCTTGTTCTTGTTCTTGTTCTTGTTCTTGTTCTTGTTCTTGTTCTTGTTCTTGTTCTTGTTCTTGTTCTTGTTCTTGTTCTTGTTCTTGTTCTTGTTCTTGTTCTTGTTCTTGTTCTTGTTCTTGTTCTTGTTCTTGTTCTTGTTCTTGTTCTTGTTCTTGTTCTTGTTCTTGTTCTTGTTCTTGTTCTTGTTCTTGTTCTTGTTCTTGTTCTTGTTCTTGTTCTTGTTCTTGTTCTTGTTCTTGTTCTTGTTCTTGTTCTTGTTCTTGTTCTTGTTCTTGTTCTTGTTCTTGTTCTTGTTGTTGTTGTTGTTGTTGTTGTTGTTGTTGTTGTTGTTGTTGTTGTTGTTGTTGTTGTTGTTGTTGTTGTTGTTGTTGTTGTTGTTGTTGTTGTTGTTGTTGTTGTTGTTGTTGTTGTTGTTGTTGTTGTTGTTGTTGTTGTTGTTGTTGTTGTTGTTGTTGTTGTTGTTGTTGTTGTTGTTGTTGTTGTTGTTGTTGTTGTTGTTGTTGTTGTTGTTGTTGTTGTTGTTGTTGTTGTTGTTGTTGTTGTTGTTGTTGTTGTTGTTGTTGTTGTTGTTGTTGTTGTTGTTGTTGTTGTTGTTGTTGTTGTTGTTGTTGTTGTTGTTGTTGTTGTTGTTGTTGTTGTTGTTGTTGTTGTTGTTGTTGGTTGGTTGTTGTTGTTGTTGTTGTTGTTGTTGTTGTTGTTGTTGTTGTTGTTGTTGTTGTTGTTGTTGTTGTTGTTGTTGTTGTTGTTGTTGTTGTTGTTGTTGTTGTTGTTGTTGTTGTTGTTGTTGTTGTTGTTGTTGTTGTTGTTGTTGTTGTTGTTGTTGTTGTTGTTGTTGTTGTTGTTGTTGTTGTTGTTGTTGTTGTTGTTGTTGTTGTTGTTGTTGTTGTTGTTGTTGTTGTTGTTGTTGTTGTTGTTGTTGTTGTTGTTGTTGTTGTTGTTGTTGTTGTTGTTGTTGTTGTTGTTGTTGTTGTTGTTGTTGTTGTTGTTGTTGTTGTTGTTGTTGTTGTTGTTGTTGTTGTTGTTGTTGTTGTTGTTGTTGTTGTTGTTGTTGTTGTTGTTGTTGTTGTTGTTGTTGTTGTTGTTGTTGTTGTTGTTGTTGTTGTTGTTGTTGTTGTTGTTGTTGTTGTTGTTGTTGTTGTTGTTGTTGTTGTTGTTGTTGTTGTTGTTGTTGTTGTTGTTGTTGTTGTTGTTGTTGTTGTTGTTGTTGTTGTTGTTGTTGTTGTTGTTGTTGTTGTTGTTGTTGTTGTTGTTGTTGTTGTTGTTGTTGTTGTTGTTGTTGTTGTTGTTGTTGTTGTTGTTGTTGTTGTTGTTGTTGTTGTTGTTGTTGTTGTTGTTGTTGTTGTTGTTGTTGTTGTTGTTGTTGTTGTTGTTGTTGTTGTTGTTGTTGTTGTTGTTGTTGTTGTTGTTGTTGTTGTTGTTGTTGTTGTTGTTGTTGTTGTTGTTGTTGTTGTTGTTGTTGTTGTTGTTGTTGTTGTTGTTGTTGTTGTTGTTGTTGTTGTTGTTGTTGTTGTTGTTGTTGTTGTTGTTGTTGTTGTTGTTGTTGTTGTTGTTGTTTTTTGGGGGGGGGGATTAGTACCATCCCCATTTGATGGTCAAATCCGATCCACCGAACCACATCTGAGACTCGGGACCCGTAGCCTCCATGCAGTTGCTCAGCTGCTTGCGCACGGCCTCGCGACGAATAGAGAGAGCGGCGGCTTCCACATGACTTGGCGAGAAAGACCGAGCCCCTGGGGGCGCCACAAAAAAGTTGAACAAATGAAACGCGACTTGATGTCGGGACGCTTCTAAAAAACAATGGTTATATATATATATACATACATGTATATACTTGAAAAACGACGTTTCCAAAAAAATATATGTTTCTGTGTATATATATATATATATACTGTGGATGGACGAAATCCATTTCGCAACATCTAAGAAACCCTCGAATGAGTCGAGTCCCCTGTTAATACCGACAAACAATGATTTCAACCATGGTTTCAAAGTGGTGCGGGATTTCGTCCATCCACAGTTTGTATATATGAAAAACAGACTGGCACCCTGGGGACACTGCCCTCTCAGAGTTGACAGACCCGTTTGGCTCAACCAAAATTGGAAAAGCAATCTGCGTTTGGGATGGTGTAAGGAAAGCCAGAAGGAAACCCTGTGTGTTGGGTCCTTATCTAACTGTTGGGGTTTTCCCACATTTGAGGACGCTCTCCCTTGCGCCATCTCAACAGCCACCATGAGTCTCACGGGCAGGGGCGCTTGTGTTTTCTGACACGCACATGGGGAGCACCACAATTTTCTCGGGGACTAAACATCGAAATCGACCAAACCTTGGACAGTCGTGGCTGAAGAGGGGCTTCCCAAGCCTTGTTTCTTTCTTCCCCCCGCCTTGTCCTGACTGGAAAGGGGCGCAAACCCTCATGAAGTGCGATCTATGTCCTTTCGGACGGAAGTCGCGGGACATGTGCTGACGTGCCTCAGGCAGAGACCACTCCGAATTCTACATGGACTCGCCGACCTGAATGCATCGGTCTTTTTTCCAGCTAAGGCCGTACAAATATACTTTACAATGAAAGCAGGCAAGCACCGCTGCATGTTTGGTCGCTCCAGCTTGACGCTCGAGCTTGGCAGCTCCAGTCGCATTTTTGTGTACAAGCGTGTACTCAAAGCACATCTTGGCAGCTCCAGCTTGAGCGCACTTTGGGCAAGTGCCTGGAAAGTGGTGCATTTGGCCTAGCTGTAGCCCCAGCCCTGGGGGTCTCGTTCGGGGCTTCGTTCGGCCAGGCACCACTCTTTGGAAAATTATCGGACCCCCAAGTCGCCGCGAGGAAAGCAAGGTGCGACAGCCGGATCGGAGCCCAAGGTCCAACCCTTCGGCAGGGAGAGCTCGCGCAGCTAAGGCAAGAACTGGCAAGGGATCACACCCTGTAGCTTGAAGGGTATCGTTTTGTGGCAGGTCCCCTGGTTTTTTGTCAAACCGAACCACAAATGGGAGCGCTTGTGTGGTACAAACTTGTATGACTGAAATGAGGACAATTTCGACCCCTCCAGAGATAAGCCTGCACCACTTGCCCCCACCAAGCTTTGCATCAAGTCCAGAGAGTAGCTGCGAGAAACCCCCCTCCCTCATCAGTCCCTCCCTCAACAGGGGCCGAATGCCCCTCCAATCCCCTCGTGACTGGGTTGTCCCACAGACCACCTCTCATGCCGACAGACAATGTCTATGTTGTGTCCATGGCGCACGAACTTACCCTACTGTTGCTATGCCTAAAGCCACCCAAAGGAAAGGCGTCATCAACCATGGTGAACACCGTTTAGGTGTTTAGATCTTTGGGAGGGTGTTCCCCATCAAACTTTACTGTCATGTAGGCTCTTCCTAGTACCCTTGCGGCCACCTGAAACGGGTGGAGTCCTGTTGAGTTCCCAAAACGGGCACCCTCGAAAACAGACACGGCATACCGGAGAGTTCGGGAAGTCTATGTTTCGACAACCCATTCCAAAAAGCATTTACCCTCAAACAAAAACGCCACGCGCCGAACTGGAACATGTGGGGGTTGATCCAAAGGTCATGGGATGACCACCGCCTAAATGGAATATGGATCAACCCCCAGATGGCTGTGTGTCAAAAAACAGGTACCCGTTTTGGGAACCCTGGTAAATGAAGCCAAAGTGCGGTTTCCTGCTTTGATTTTGACCCAGCCCACATATCTTGCTGAATTTTGACCCAACCCCCATATCTTGGAACCTTTTTGGACCTGACTTCTCCACCTCGACCCGGACCCCGCCTGCAGCTCCACCTGGACCTGCGCCTCCTGCGCCGAGCGCAGCGCCGACTGCTCCCCCCGCAGCGCCTCGCCGAATCCGGGAGACGCTCGCGCCGCAGCGGAGCCGCTTTTGGGGGAGTTCAACACGAGGCGTTTGAGAGGGCAGAAACGAGTTTCTGTGTGTGTGTTTTTTTTTTTGGGGGGGGGGGGGGAGAAACGAGTTTTGTTTTCTCCTTTTTTATCGCGCCAAGGAGTCGGATTTTTGTTGCGGGTGTCCGCGTTCTCTTTGCTTTGACGAGGCGCGAATTGTTTGCAATGATCTGAGATTGGAACACCTATCCAACAAAACACAGACGCACGCGCAGACACACTTCGAAATACCCAAGTAGTTACCTCCAATTCAGAAAGCACCGAGACAGGTGTTCACTCCCAAACCGAGCAAGCAAAGAACCATTCGAACAGCCAGCGGGATCCGAAGAAAAAACACTCCGAGCCAAAAAAAAACATGGAAAAGCACAATGGCACCATTATGTTCGTCACCTACAGCACCATGTCATATTCTCTTTGTCACCTACTAGCCTACACCCCCCACTCTGTTTACATGACATTATCTTTTTGTCACCTACACCCCTACTAGGAATAGGGTACTAGTTCTAATTAGGAGAAGCGAGTGGACACCTTTGAGGTGGAGATCAAGAGGTCTTGGTGAGGTGGTTGAAATAAAGCTCACCGCCATATGGGCCTTCCGCTTTTTTCAGCGTACCCGTTTTGGGATTTTGGTTTGGGAAACCACAAGGAAAACCAAAAGGCATGAGCCTACGATAAGAATCGGATCCAGGGATCCCCAAGTAAAGGATCTTTGCCATGGCTTTCGCTCGTTGTTACCCCCAGAAATCCTTGAGCTCGCTAATGTTGGCCATGGAGCAATAAACCCTTTTGCCAATATGGGGTGTAGTTGTTCAGTTTTGGGCCCCTCCAAAAGCGGTCTGATTCCCACATTTCACCCAACAACACCCTATTAATTAACTGGTTGCTTGCTAGGTGATTCCCCAGGAAATCCAGGGACATCCTATCAATCAACTGGTTGGTTGCGGGAAGTCCACATTCAGAAGTCAACATGATTGCCTTTTTGTTGGATAAACTGGGCTTGATGCATATGGGGTCCACCTTGCTTCCACTTGGTTAACACCCCGGGAAAAAAGTAAACATATTTCATGTAGTGAAATCGATTCCCTTTAAACCCAACAGGGGAATTATCAAAAAATATTCATTTCAGCAAAGGGTGACTTCACTACAAGCCCAAAAGGATAAGCAACCGGATGGCCTTTTAGCCACCAAGTAATATGGGGTCCACGGTTGGGTTCGGGGAGCAAAAAATCTCAAATTTCAGCAGTTAAGTGGTTGGATTTCAACCACTCAACCACAATCAGCAAAAAATGCTTCAAATGTTTCCCAACAACAACCATGTACAAAGCAGGCAGGAGACCCCACGGCCCCTGGCCCCTTCCGGGCCGCCGATGCACGGAGGGCCGCCTCCAGCGCGGCGTTCTGCTGACCGCGCAGGGCCTCGATGTCTCCGCGGTGCCGGCTGTCCTCGAGCGGTGAGCCGAGCAGCACCCCAGCAGCACCCGAGCAGTTCCCCAACCCCTGCGTGGTTCTAAGACCGCGATAAAAGATGTGTATGTGGGCCATGATTGTCTGTAGCACCATGGCTTTGTTTAAAGATTTTTGTGTAGGCCATATTGATTCTATAATATAACCTTCTTCACTCAGGTAGTGGCCATTGCCATTATATTCTGTAGCACCTTCTTCCATCAGGTGGTAGAACCAGCTAACATGGCCAATGGGCTAATATAGTGACGAAATGAGTCATCTAAAGGAGATTCCTCTGATTGGTATGGGTCCTCCAGAGTAATGCGAAGTTTGCGCGGTCCAAAATGGCTGGTTTGTTTGTCGGCCTCTTTTTCAAGGTCGCTCAACAGGGGGTCCCTTTTCTCAGCCACGCACATGGGTGCTTCTGAATTACTTGAGGTCCTTCTGGTTTCGCAGACAGCCAAGCCAAGCAGCGAAGCAGCGAAGCACGACTCAAAAGCATGGACTGGGCACTCACACGTGGACCTGCCTCGGATTGAAGGGACTCGAGCTCGTTCAAGCGCCGCACCTGTTGCTGTAGGTGAAAACCCAAGCCACGATGCCCCGAAAAATCAAAAAGGGGGGGAACGAGGATCATCACGTCGCCCAACAACGTCATTGGGTCTTAATCAACCCATTGTGGAGATCCAACAGACCTCACATTGGTCGACAGGTGGGCTGACCAACATGGGAGGCCAACCTTCCCGCAAGGGTCGAAACGGGGCCGATGTTTGGCCACTTGTCAAACCTGACCTTCTGCTCCGGGTGGAATAGCTGAGACTCTCAATGGAATCACGAATGGAGGCCCGCTTTCAGCTCCCGCGTTTGTCCTTGGGCGAGTTTTCTCTGTCATAGGATCTGGTTGCGGCAAGGCCAATAGATCTCGGCATGTTTCAACATGTCCCCAATGGCATGGGAAGGCTCACAGTCGGTAGCTTCCAAGATTGCTGTGACCAAAGAAGAACCTCTGAGCCGTGTTTGGGGAAAGGACGCGAACGTGAAACCCTGCACTAGGAGTCCCTTGCGCAATGCTGCGCTGCCTGAAGCTCTTCCATCACGAACCTCTGGAGCTCGTTCCTGGCAACGACTCGGCAATTCTGCGGCCTTTCGTATTCCAGTGGCCATACTGTGGATGGTTGCGAAATCCATCCAACGCACCACCTAAGAAACCCTGGGAGAATGATTGCCCTGTAAATACCAACAAGCAATGGTTTCTCATGATTTCAAAATGGTGCAGGACTTCGTCCATCCACAGTATGGCTATGGGTCAAGATTAAACCACCATTAAAAAAAGAGACACGGGTTTGAGTCCTCGATTCCATTTACCAGGGCAACCCCTTTGGGGTACCGATTTTTTGTTGGTTCCATTGTGAGGATACCCGATTTTGACAGCAACGGCCATATGAGGGCCATATGCTGTGTTGCCTCACCTCTCGGGGGGGCAAAACGGAGACCTGGAGGCAAATCGCTGCGTGGCGGACTCACCTTATGATTGGAGTTGGGCTGTTAGACATGAATCACTGCATAAATATACTATTATATATATATATGAAATGTTTGCCTTGTTCACTTCACAAACAAAAAGAAAACCGAAAAAGCCGGTGTCTTGCATTTCTTGCAGTTTATGTGCGGACGATGAAGCACAACATCGAAAAATATCATCCATAAGGAAAAAACAACTAGAGAGTAAAATACATTGATGCCTTGTTGGTTTTTTGAAGTTCTTGAGGGAACACCGAAAATAAAAGAACTCGACAAAGCAAACAAAGAAACAACTCTGAGAAGTGTTGGTTTTGCCAACTGTGTGTTGCTCGTGGCGTTCCATCGAAAAATCGAAAAACTATCGAGGCGGCTTGGTGTTTGCACAAAACGACTGGGGGAAGCCAAAAAAGACTTGAGAAAACCAAAAAACAAATGGCAAAACCAAAACTACCCCGCAGAGTTTTGGTTTTTGGTTGTTTGGTCTTGTCGAGGTATTTATTTGTGTGTTCCCTCGTTTTTTTCTTGTTTTTTAGCTTATCCCTGCTTGGGCAGGTTTGGCACTGCCATGTGTGAAGGGTTGTGACCAGTGAACTAGATGTTCGGTGCCAAATTAGAATTCAACACTTGCCTTTTCAATTCTTGACCCAAGCTGTTATCAAGCTCGTTTAAGGGCTCCTTACAAGGTCTAAGGCTCATTCTGAAGCTCCATAGAAAACTCCTTATAAGCTCCTCATAAGACAAGGCTCCTTGTAAAGCTGCTTGTAAGACAGATTGTTGAAGCTCCTTGTGCAGCTCCTTTTAAGGCTCCTTAGTCAAACAAGGCTCGCAATTCTTAAGCTGCAAAAACAACTTCTTATGGAGCTCCTCATCAAGCTCTTCAAAAAGCTCCCTTGCACGACTCCTTCTCTCCTTATGTTCCTTTGATAAGGCTCCATATACAACTCCTGTTAAAGCTCCTTGTAAAGCTCCCTCCAAGGCTCCTTAAACAACTCCTGCTCAAGCTCCTTATACCACATTAGATTATGATTGCAGTTCAATTACAAGTCAAATTGACTGTTTTCAAATATCAATCTAAAAACGGCATCCTTTCTATAAAGAAAACTTAACAAGGGAATCATATATATATATACATGGTTCGCCTTTCCAGCAACATGTGAAATGTAGCCTAGCCCCCGCCTCAACTTCCCGGTTCAGCTTGAACTTGCGTCGTGCGTTTCGCCCCCACCCTCCCTCCCCCTTCCGTCGTGCCACGAATTGTGCGTCTCACCGACTCATGCTTGAAATGAGGGGAGGTCAACAAAAATGTGAAAAGGGTCCATTGTCAGGGCGTTCAAGCAATTTGCGCAAAGCCTGCGAGACCCACTCTGCAACACCCAAGCTGACTACTTGCTCACTTTCGACGGCTTTCCCTCGACCTTTTCCTCAAGAAAGAGGGGATTTGTGGGACCCTAGGAATAGACGTCTTCCATGAAACCATAACATTTCTTCATGGGGGGCGGCTAGGATTTCACGAGACTCGTCTCCAGCCTCGGGCCAACCTAGGGGAGAAAAGTTCCTGCCACTTGGGCGGATCAGTCTCACAACTCAACCATTTTCAGGAAACTCGCCTGAGTGGATGGCCCAACAAAGGCCCAGACTTTATATTTGCCAAAATGATCCAAACCCCAAAAAGTGTCAAGTTCAACTCAGGAAGTGAGGAAAATGGCCTCCCTAAGGCCTGCAGAATGCCACCAGCCGGCCTAAGGGTTTGCTCCACCGCGCCCCGCAGGCAGGCCTGGCGACTGCGACGCCATTCGCCGTGCCAGCTGTGGTAGTGGTGACCCGGGATTCATGAACCCCAGTTCATGTTTGTGGGTCCCTCCAAAAGTGGTCTGAATCCGCACTAAAACCAGGGACACCCACATGCTAATGAACAGGGGGTTGGTCAACCTACGGCAAAGCCCGCCAAAGAAAGCCCCGAGTGCTCGAAACCTGCACACCGAACCCAAATTGGAGCTTGGGGCTCCCAGGGACGCAGTGGCTTGTCCCTGAGGCTGGGGACAGATAGGTTGTGTCCCAGGACAGCCAACTCGGGCCCCTCAAAAAGTGGTCCTTCATTTCTATAACCCGAAACTGCCGAAAGATTGCGACGCTGCGCCAAGATTGAGTCTCTAAGTAGGGAAGCGTCATCCGGGGTGCGCTCGCTTTACCTCTGGTTGATCTCCATCACGGAAAAGCGGTGCGTCCGGCAAGAATGCATCCAAAATTGTGTTGCAAAACTCTGTTGCCCCAGACCTTTTTCTCACCCCCCCCCCACCTCTCTTGCCCCCCCCCCAAGAAAAAAGCTCTCCCCTCCCCCTACCCACATTAAAAAAAAAAAAAAACGATACCCCCACCCCACCCCACCCCCCGGCGGCCTGCTGCCTTTGCCCCTCCAGGACCTCCCCGGAGATCCGCGCCAGGTCGCTGCGCAGCGCCGACAGCGCCTGCTGCAGCGGCTCCTGCCCCGAAAAGATCTTCGGCGCAGAAACCCGGCGGTTTCTTTGAGGCGCCCTGCACCCACTGTGTGGGGGGGGAGGGGGGAAGTTTACGTTGGGAAACCAAACAACCGACACTTTTTCTTGTGGTCCGCGCGCGCGCGCGCCGATGTCGACATGCCCATGTTGACCCTCCAGAGAGATGGATCATGCGGGCGCCCTTTCTTCCAGCAATGGCGTCATCAAGGCCCACCTCCATGTCGACCGACATGGTCGCGGGCAACCCAGGATTCATAACCAGGTTGTCAAAGGATCATTGGGGGAAATCAGGTCATTGGGGGAACCCTTCCAGGAGGGAGCGCATCCTCCGCGACACACATGCGGACCGAACCGTGGCCAAGCAGCTCTTCCGCGTCTTCTGTACGGCGGGTCAATCTTGGCCTGGAAGCGCACCCACTGACTCGGGGATTTTGCGACAGAGCAGTTTGCCGAACGGTTCGCAGCAAAGATGGCTGCCATACGGCGGGCTGATTGCCAGAACCACGCCCAGCTACTTGCCAAGCTGCGGCAACGGACGGCACGCCCCGTGGAGTATTTGCAATACGCCCTCAACACTGCACGGGAGAAGGAGCTGATTGACAAGGTTGTGCTGGTCCTGGAAGAGCATCACAACGCACCCGTACTGGCTTTCGAGCACGACGGGCTGTTCATCTACTGGCCGGATGAGCCGGAGAAACTGCGGGGGCTCATCGAGGGTGCACTGTGCGGCTTCCGCTACACTGTGAAGCCAATGATGACGCTACGGGAGGCTTTGCAGGCGGCAGAGAGGGTGATGCGCAGCGCCAGCCCCGGCCTGGAGCGCATGTTTGACAAGGTGGACTCGCGTTGGCTTGAGCACCACGCTATCCTGCGCCAAGCCTTCAGAGGTTCGTTGCAGCACCATGGCCTGTTCGGGGAAGCCGTGCTGAGGAGCCCGACGGTTTCCGGCAAGATTCCACTATTTACTTTTTTTTTTTATGTATATATATATATATAGGCCAAGGCTTTCAAAATCTGGGCTCGACATTTTGACTTTGGTGGTGCTCGCATCCCGCAAGCAGCTTTTCGTTTCGTGGGTTGGCAAACAAACAAAAAACGCTGAGGTGAAACCAAGAAGCGCTTTGGGCTCTAGATTAAAGATGGGAGCCAGCTTGTTAGCGAAAGGTTCAAGCAAGGGTGCAATAGCTCTACTACGTCCTCCAGTAGAGAGGTCAGAATAAGGGTACCAACTTTTCTCTGTCGTCTATTTTAGAGAAGGGAACCCTCCCAACCAAAAAAGGGGTTGGTAAGAGGGCACCATTCGCTGGGGGACCAGAGCTCCACAAGAACCAGGGCTTCAACTCCCAAACCGCGATGAGCAAAAGACGAAGCCCGGGGATCCGGGGATCCTGAAGCTCTTTGACGCAGTCCACCATCTTCTCCCCCTCGAACTCCTCTTGAGCACAAGACGCGAGCGGGGGAGGCGGGGGGGAGAGGGCAAAAAACTGGGAAGCATCCTCAGTGTTGGGCATAAATTAGACCTCTCTTGTGGAAAAGTGGGAAGGGTCCGGCAAGTGTCTCGAGGAAGAAGCAGCAGAACAACATCATGTGTGTGTGTGTGAGTGAATGAATGAATCTGTGTGTGTGTGTGTGCGTGCGTGTACACCATCCACCTCAACGAGACCCTCCAAAGGCATCCACACTGCACCATGACCCTCCCGCCTTCTGGCGTTTCCTGGCGCGCGATGCGGTTTCAAAAGCAATCCAATCACGGGCCAAAACTGCCCAAAAGGGGGGGGGAGGGGGTGTTGGGGTCATTGCAACCATTTAGACCTTTGGGAAAGCCCAAAAATGAGTGTGTCTATTTAAAAAAAAAAAAAAAAAAAAAAACTGGGGGACCCTTTAGTGTTCCCTTAGTTGCTTTAAACGCTGGTTTTCCCTTTAGTCTTCCTTTTAAGCCAAACCAAAACACCACTTGCCGCCAAAATAGACCTTCCAGCGGGTCGGCGTGCCGAAAATTTCTCAGCTCTAGGTCGAAATCGGGAAAAATGCCGCGCGAATCGAGTTCGTCGCCAAAGACCGAAAAGCCAAAAGCGAACAAAAAAAAAACAAAAAAACAAAAAGAGAAATACCCCTCCCAAAAAAATGGTGTCCACTTACCTCGAATTTCAGCTTACCAGTTGGTGGCTTGGATTGGTGGCGACTCGAGGAGTGGTTCCCATCTGTACGAGAACCCGGGCTTCAAAACCCCAAAAACACCAATCCAAAACACCAAATGGGAGTCAGTCAAACGTTCACGAACATTTGTGTCCAAAATTGGGGGACCAAAAAAATGGGTGGCCTCCTTTTGGTTTCCCTTTTGGCTCCACCCAAAAAAAGGTACCCTCAAAAAACGCACGGATGTTGCTGGGTTCCATTTTGAGCCAGGCCAAGAGCGAGCTACACAGGCCCACATTGCCGACAGGACAGGACGAAGCTAGGGCTTCCTGATGAGGACAAACCTATCTAGGGGGGTACCTTCCCCATTCTTTCCACGGGATCCTTCTTTCTAAAAAACCTCAAGAAAACAATGGAAAACGGCCGGTCTTTGAAAAGAATGATGGTTGAAAAGAATGGGGAATCAAACCCTAGAACCTAAGATTTCCTGAGAAAAGCCACGGTCAAAAGTGACTTGTTGATTTTTACCGAGACAGCCATAGCAAGCATCTTGACCCAACTTCACATGGGTCTGTCTTTCTTTAAGCCTTCTTATATGGCTTTTTCAGGGAAACAGGGAAAAAGTAGGGAAACCACCCAACTTCGGGTCGATTCCCCTATCTCGTGCTGGTGCGCTAGGCGAATGAGAAATGGAATGAAACGGCTTTGGGGGATTCGTGAACAAAGGACACCACCAGTTGGATGGTTTCTTTTCGGGTCATTCCATGTCTCATTCCGATCGCAAGATTTGGCCATGGACGTACCAGTGAACATCCCAATCCACCCACTGAAATCGGTTCTACAATGGGTGGTGAATTCACCTACCAACCAAAATGGGATCCAAAACGGCTTTGACAACCACAGCCATGCTTCATTTTCCCTGCATCTCTCGCACTGATCGCACGACTTTTGAGGTCGAACGCCTCCCAGATCATCTAAAAGCACTAAACACTAAAAGTCTAAAATGCTAAAAAACCATTTTGACAACCCGCTAAACCAACTGAAAGTCTAAAAAAAAGAAAAGGCAAAGGAACCGGATGGCAAGCCCATGCCACCAAGACTTCTGAGATCGACCGCTTCCTCTCGGATCGCATCCAGCCTCAAAGATTCGATGTCCGAACACACCGCCGCCAGAGCGTCCAGCACCTCCTGCTTCTCCTCGAAAGTTCAGCTACGTATTGTTTGTTGCTTGCGTTGATTGTGTGTTCTCTTTTGTGTTGTGTTGTTTCGTTTCGTTGTTTGCTTGTTTTTTGCTTTTAATTTCTGTTTCTTGTTTTGATTTTGTGTTCTTTCGCTTTGTGTTGTTTCGGTTTTCTTGATATTGCTGTTTTTGCTGATTTTGTTGTCTTTTTTGTGTGTGTTTTGGCGGAGGATGGAGCACAGGGAAAGTCTTAACATGAGCGCTTTTCTTGGAGCACTTTTCGGGTTGAACGTTTAAAGGAAAACGAAAAGGAAAGCACAGTTGGGGGAGTCCAAATAAATCCCGATTTCGCTACATAGCCACAGGTGTTCTTTCGGAGGGTGCATCGGAAGGGAAGCGTGCTTTGAAGGAAAACAAAAGGTGGGGAGGTTGTTCCAAAACAAAGACCCCCTCTTGATTCGCTCTGCAGGTCCCCCAATCAACCTACTTTAGGAAACCTTGGAGGGGGGTCATCCTTTGACGGCCCTTTCCCACTGATTGCCAGGCATGGGGAGCCATGAGCCTATCGTCCTTGCTGCCTTCTAGCTACGTCTTAGGCTGCGAGTTGGCTCCCGAGTTGGCTCTGGATCGGCACGTGGCAAGATTTATCGCGTCAACTGACAGGCCAGCAACCCCCACTTCGGTACGGCAGTTTGGTGACTCCCCATGTCGTCCCCGTTACCGCAGATGACGAAAAAAAAAGACCGTTGCTGAAAAAAGAGTCGTAAGATCACCACCGGGCACTAAAATGGCCCAGGGCCGAAACCCGGTAAAGAATCAAAAAGCCGGGCCGAAGCGATTTCTCATATCCCGTCCTTCGAGTTTTGACTGGTGTGTTGCCCACATATGGGGGGTGAAAAACCTTACAAATGGGAGGCCACAAAAAACAATCGCCCTCCCCTCCTTTCCCTGTGGAAGCCCAAAAAAAGAGCTACCAAAAAAGACACACACAAATTCTTGGTCAAGGTTCATTCAACCCTAAACCCAGGATTTTGTGTGTCTTCTTCGTTCGTCCTTTTTCAAGCGCAAAAATGTCACCGATGGCCCCAGACGTTGAGTGCCTTACTCCCAAAATGGGGCTCGGTTCTCGGCTTTCCTTTAGTTTCCCTTTAACAACCACCGAAACCTTGCTGGTTCTCAGCAGGAAATGAGAAATGGAATCACCCCTCTAAACCATCCCAGAAAGGTGTCCTTTGTTCGGGAATCCCCAAAACCGGTTCATTCATGTTGTGAGCCACAGCCACTAGTGGAAATCGACCGTTTCAATCAACCACCAAATTGAAGGACAGGTATCCCTTGATTGGTGGCTTGGTGGAGGTGCTCCGGAGTCAAAACCCGGAAACCATACTCCAAGCCTACTGGTCGCAAGCGAAATGAAGGAACCAAAAAAGCGGACCAACCCGGAAACTCGGTCCTTCCCTACAATCACCACCATAAAGCATCCCAGAAAGGTGTCACCTAAATCATAGTCACCTAAATCACCATAGTCACCTAAGTCACCCTTCCCTATAATCACCACTATAAACCATCCCCAGCAAGGTGTCCTTTCGCGAATCCCCCCGCAGCCTTGCCAACGCCCGCGCCCCCGAGCCTTTTGGGCTCGGGACTCCATGTCCCCCACGGCGCCCGACAGTCCCTTGGACAGCTCCTGACCGACAAAGCGCGTCCGTTTTGGCCTCACTACACTGCGCCTATGTCATACATAGAAACTTGGTTGACGTTGGAGGGGGAGCAAACATTTAAAATGTTCAGCAGCTCAGTGGTTGGAATTCAACAAGCAAAAATGCAAAATGTTTCCCAACAACAACCATGTGTATATATATATAGATATGTGTGTTATATGTGTGTGTGTGTGTGTTTTTGTTGATATGTTTCTTCTGGGGCGTCGTGTTTGCTCTGGAGCGAAAAGCTGATCAATCGCGAAAACCTTGCTGCTTCAGTAGGAAAAAGATAGGCAGCAGGGCGATGTGGACAAAAAGGACATGTTGTGGCTTTCCTTGGATTCAAGAGTACGAGCTCAAGAAATGAAATAGAGATTCCTGGTCAATATTGCATAATGGTGCTTTGTGGTGCCTGTGTGTTGTTGAGTTCATGTGTCCGGTTTGTCGGTTTCCCGGAGACTTTCAAAGTCGGCATTGTTCCTGTGAATTATTGGATTGGTTGCCAATTCAATGATTCATGTCCAAACGATAGCAACACGGTGTCGTAAGTTTTACTTTCCAATATTCTTCTCTTGCAGGAACCGTCAAACACTAAGAACGGTCATTGTCCAGTTTCTGGCACCTTGCAAGTGTGTAGGATCCCTTCTAACATGCAGGACATGTTCTGAGACTGGAAAGTCTTGAAAAAGCTGGAAAGAAGGGAAACCAATTCTGTCTGCATTCAAGATTCGAGCTTGCCTCGGAAAAATAGTTCTGAAATTATTGAGTCTTGAAGCCAGGAAACAAACAGTTCTAAATTAGCTGAATGTCTACGCGCTTGTTTGACTCTCCAGAAAATGTTTCTTCAAAACGGACCCTTTGGTTGGTTCCATGCTAGTGTACTGGAGGGTAGTCGAAAAGACACACCCCGCAAGATCCACAAAACAGAAACAAAAAAGACACGGCAAAATCCGACAACAATTTAAAAACCTCAACACAAAAGGCCGGAAAAACACACAAGACACAACACAGAAACCACTACCCCAAGAAAGACGAGAAAAAGTTGCAAGAAGCGCCCACCCCACTCCCCGGTTGCGCCAGGCGCCGACACGTCCGCGCCTCCCACTGCCGGTCCAGGTCGCTACGCACCGCCACCAGGTCGGCGCCCCGCTCGGTGCGCTCGGCCTCTGGGGCGCGGCCATAATCAAAACCCGGTATCAAAATGGTCTACCCAGAACCATGTAAAGAATTAAGAAGATGTCTGCAGCTATTTATGGTTGGGATTGTCCCTTACTAACCTTTTTTTTCCCAGGTTTTGATTGCGGCTCAAATGGGTGTGGCTCAAAATTGCAGAGCTAGGGTTATGCAGGTGATACTCTTTGGTTCCATTGAACAAGGTACCTGACTGGTACCTTTTGTGAGCCACAGCCAAGGTGGAGTTGCAAGTTACTGGGTTCGATTGCGCTCGAATTGGTCAAAGGGGGGGGGGAGAGGAAAGATTTTGGGGGGGGGGGCAAGATTTAGCCCATGTGAATCAATGACGGATTAATTCCATACCCCCAAATGATGTCCACCACGTCCCCAAATGAAAATATTGCCCAGGGTATGTCTCCAAATAGGGCGACCCAAGCCAACCTTAAGGGGTACCAACGCACAAACTCGGGGGGTTAATGGGATATACAGCCACGATATAACCTCCATATTCTTCGGATACCCCGATTTACCCTGAAAGTAGTGGTATGAGGGTACTGGAAACCATCTTAGAGCCATATGAGTAGCTGGGGGTCTATGTCCAACCACTTGTCAGGTCTTTCCTTTTCACCATCATCATCATCATCACCACCAGCACCATCATCGTCGTCATCGTCGTCATCGTTGTCGTCATCGTCGTCATCATCATCATCATCATCATCATCATCATCATCATCATCATCATCATCATCATCATCATCATCATCATCATCATCATCTTATAATTAGTTTTAGTGTTATTATTATTATGTGTTGGTATTAGCCTTAGACATTGTCATTTATTTCATTACTATTGTGTGTTATTCTTATTGCAATTGTTATTATCATTATGTATTATTGTTTTGTTGTTATTATCATTATTATTATTAATAATTGTCATTAAAGCTGTGGTTTTGTGAGTTGGTAGCCTGAAAAGGTTGGTTTGGGACAAAAGGAAAGCCGAACTCCTTGAGGGCCTCCCTTGGAGAAGGGAAAGCCTTTGAGGATCCCCCTATTTTGAGGAACACCAACATAGCCACGGTCAATGTTCAGGTGCAATGACAATTGGAGAACAGGTGAAGCCCGATTTTCCCGAGTGGCAATTTGGTGAGTGTTCCCTATGTCATCCACTTTACAGAACCAAGAAAAAAAAAGAAGAAGCCAAAAAAGGGATCGTTTCCCGACCCGTCCTTCTGCCAGTCACCACAAGTTGGACCGTTTTGGATTTGATGCAAATCATCCACTGCGAGCGGGGTCCGGGTCCAAGAACTGGCCCCAGTGGGGAAGCCATCCTAACCAGAGGTCAGGAACCCTGGGAACTGGAAAGCACTGGAGAAAAATCACCCAAGGTTCACGGGTGAACTCACAGCATGGGTCACTCGTTGCAACATGGGTCACTGCATTTGACAATCCTCAAGCATGCAAGGGTGAAGCATCATTTGGCTTCCCCAAACTTCCAAGATTCGCGAGATCCCATAAGGCAGCTGAACAGATGTAAGCTTCCAAAAAGATTCGCCTTTCGATCAAAGATCCCAAAAGTCTCACTTGCCGAAAGTCCCAACTGCAGGACCCTAGCTTTCCAAAGAAACCCCGAACTTGGGACCACGGTAGCAGGAAGCCCATGACAGCCGCGAGAGACGAGCGATCAACTATCCGCAGCCATTGGCTCTTGAAACCTGCCCTTACCCTCCAACCCTCCCACCAATTCACGCGGAACCTTTTTTCTGCTCGTGACCCGGCCACTACAGGAGAATGGTCCAAACGAAAATACCACTAGGTAAACCAGGAATCGCCATCTATTCTGTGGGTCAAAACCCTGTTTAGCCCCCAGTGAACATCGCAATCCCCACCAAAATAGACTAAAATGGGTGGTGCACCTGCCCCAAAATGGGATCCCATTTTTTTTGACCCATCTATTCTTCTACCAAAGCCACCCAAAAGGACACCAAAAGGACCCGAAAAACGGCTCAGCACGTGACTGAAATGTCCCCCCTCCGCCTGCTGCCGAACCTCCAGCTCGCTCAGCGCCATGCCTCGGACGCTCTGAACGCAGATCCCAGGAGCTCAGCACAAAGGGCCCCGATCTGAAAAAGCACCACAAAGGGGAACTTGGTAAAAGGACCAAAAAGGGTCACAATCTTTAAAAGAGAAAAAATGAAAATAAAAATGGGAAGACCATGGAGAACCGAACGGTTTTGTTGGGTTGGTGCGGAAGTCAAAAGCTTGGCACTTCCCTGCTTCCTTTGTTTGTCCTTGTGAAGTGAAACCAAAGAAGATATAACAACCTCCCCCCCCCCGCCCTTTTGGAAGCACCACCCCTCTATCTCCAAGTCGCAAGGCGAGGTGGTTCTGGACGCAGTTTCGGATTGGTTTGGTTTTGGTTCAGGGTAGGTCGCTTTGGGGCAATTTCGGGTGGGTCTGAGATAGATGTCGGGTTGGCTTGGGAGTGGCTTGGGCTCGGTGGAAGGAATGGTTCAGAGTAGGGTGCGGGTCTGGGGTTGGTTGCCGCCATAGGTGGCCTTGTAGAAAAATAGATGGCCCTGTTAAATGGAACCAGACCCATCTAAACCAGTGCCATCTACTTTTAACCAGGCTCACCTAAAAAGGACACCTACTGTGGATGGACGAAACCCTGCACCACCTAAGAAACCCTGAGATAATGATTGTCCTGTAAATACCAACAAACAATGGTTTCCCTTGCTTTCAAAGTGGTGCAGGATTTCGTCCATCCACAGTATGGTTGCCTCGCTCAGCCTCGCTATCTATCTCTGCCCATCTGCGTGCGGAGCTGCTCAAACGCGAGTCCAGGTCAGCCATCTGCGACTCGGCCCTGGCCGAATCCGACATGCGCAAACACGCCTGGAGCCACGTCTGGGGCGCACCAAAAGTAGAGCTTTCTCATTCTGCGTCATATTTAGTCTCCCGCAAATACATGTGTGCGTACAGTGCGTGTGTGTAGATAGATATATATATATATATATATGTATATTACATATCCCAACCTCACCCCCAGCCACAAAGGTCCGCCTTTTCCTTCTGGAGCGCCAAGTAACGCGCGGCGGCTCCCGTTTGGGAGGGACACCGGGCGCTTAATTCGGCTTCGTGCAATGCAAGCCCCGAGGCTGCGTGTTGCGATTCGCATATCCAGCAAAACCATCTGGGACAGGGGACAACAAAACGGTCGGCTCAAAAGGCGTATTGAGGTTTCAATCCAAAATCTCAGGCCAGAATGGCCATAAAGCCATTAGGGTTTCCACGCCCAAGGCCTGTCCTGACTTGTCGGACCCTGGCTTAGCAAGACTTGGTTGCTTTCTACTCCGCTGCTAAAAGTTTAAGTTTTTTCTTTAAAGGCCTAACATCCAAGCAAAATGCCCCAAAGAAGAGGAATCCGGACCACCGTTCAGGCGCAAGGAAAGCTTTATAATTACATCCTCACCCGCGCACTACCCGCTCAGGGGCTGGGCGCAGTTGGGCGGCTGCCAACCGGGCCCTGAGCGCTGCCCGAAACGTCAGCGTCGGAGTCGAAATGACTGGCTTGCCCAACTAGGTCCTCCAGTGGAGAGGTTAGAATAAGGGTGCCAACTTCTTCCTGTCTATTTTAGTAGGGGAACCCAAAACCCCAACCAAAAAAGAAAGGATGAAAACACACTCTTGGGGACCTAGCCAAGAGAACAGGAAAAAACGGGGACTCCCACATGGACCGTGGACTGCTGGAAAAAAATGCTAGACCGAAGCTGACCACAAGCAGCATGCGAACAAAACCTGACACTTAGAGGTGCCCATGCCCGAAGGCACTCATCTAAAAGCTCTCGGCGTGTCAGAGCCTCAAAAGCTCTTTTGGCATGCATGGAGGGATGGATGGATGGACGGACGGAGGGATGGATGGATGGACGGACGTAGGGATGGAAGGATCTCGACCCGGGGCGCGCGCCCTTACAGTGGCCCTCATGCCATTGCGGCCGTCCCTGCGCAAGTGTCATCAGGACGACTCCAGTGGGAGTTCCACGTGCAGCTGCCTCGTCTTTCACGCAGTGCGGGGAAAGGTGGCGCTTCATGAAATCAAGTTCCACGGCCGGCATAGGGCAGAGGCCGACAAATGACCGACTGTGAAACAAGCAACGACTACCTGCGTGCGGAAGTCTGGGACGGGCCCCTTGCCAGGAGCAAGCCGCAAAATCGCCAACCCTCAAGCCGATGGAGGCACAAAGCCTACGGGCCGAATCCAGCTCCTTGCTGCGCAAAGCGGACCTGTGGGCAAGAAAAGCCGCAGGCACGGCCAGGACCGCAAGGAACCGCAAGGTGCGAGGAACATGGACCACAGAGCCTGAAAAAACGAAAGGCGAAGCCCCTACCAAGTCAAAGAGCTTCTTGATGACCCTCACCCAAACCTCCCATTGGGCGCGCTGCTACATTGACAGGCGTGGGCGGTGTGTAGCACCACCTGGCTTCGGAGAGCACTGAAACAACATTTTCTAGGTCTCCTTGGCAATTGAAAGAAGCCTTCAGGTATGGGGGACTTTCAGTTTAGCAGCCAGGAAAGTCGGAGGGTTTACCCTGTTCCACTATTGCACTAGGGCAGTATGGGTAGACATAGTTGAGCCTGAGAAAGGCTTCCCTAAGCACCAGAGCAGCTGAATCTCCTCTCTCCGGGGCTGCCAGACCCGCTTGGAGTGGGTCTCGGATCCGCATGCATTATACACCTGAACATTGCAACTTGTAAATGGTGGTGTCCAACTTTGTTGTGGTGTTGAAAAAGCCACATGTTTCAAATGGCTGCAAAATGAATTTATTTTAAGGAGCCCTGAGTGGGTCTCATGTGCTCTGCACAAGTCGACCGCCAAGCCGACGGGCCCAAGGATCCGCTGGGAGGGTGTGATGTCGATGCGACCCCTGGTGAAAATGCGGAGGGCTTCTGCCCAATACGCCGTCAAACATGGGAAATCCCATGTTTGAGAAAGAAACAAATCAAAAGAACCCCTGCTTTTTGTTTGTCCCCCTGCGCCACACAACTCAATCAGTAGCTGCGAACCGGAAAAATCAAAAGCAACCACGCGCCGCACAACTCAATCAGTGGCTCGAACGCTGCGAAGCCAGGTGCGTCTCCCGATCTGAAGATTTCTTCTGGTCTAAAAAACTGGGGGAACCCAAACAAAATGGTTGGCTTTACTAGAAGCAAGCGAAAGAAGTTATCCCGAAGAAACAAACTCCCGAATCCACCCGGGGATTTACCATTCCTAGCATCTCCGAGCCAATCTCGGGGATTCTTCGTTTCAGAGGGCCCAAACCCTTAAGAAAACATTTACCTATTCCTTCCAGCATCGAGCCAATCTAGGGGATTCTTCGTTTCAGAGGGCCTAAACCCTTAAGAAAACTTGTCCATGGAACGACGCCTCAAAACAGCTGGGATCGAAAAAGAGAGCTTCAAGCCTGCGGGGATTCTTTGGGGGCTATTTTGAAGAGAATCAGTACTGTGGGTGGATGAAATCCTGCTCCATGTGGGATGGATGAAACCTTATAAACAATGGGACAAACCACCAATCCCACCTGGTGTGAATTGGAGTTAGCCCATCCACACCTAGAAAACCTCTCAACACTGGCACACCCTCGCCTCGCTTTGGGGGATTCACGCGGAGGTACCACTTGGCGAACCTCGGAAGGGCTCTGCTCGGTTTCAACCCAGGGGTTCCAAAGTGCCCACGTCCCCAGTCCCAAGGCAGCCAAGAGTTGAAAGCTTGGAGCAGTTTGGTTTTGGACAAAAGCCAAAGGTTGCAGCATTCGTGCGAGATGTCCAGACCAGAGAGTTGAAAGTCATACTCGTTGTCATCAGTATAGAGTTGCCATTTGCGCGCACTGGATACCCAACGTGCCAGATTCCAAATGTGCATCTTGCTAGTCCAGCCCCCAATAAAGTGTCTCATGTTGGGGGGGGAGGCCATTGTTTGCTTGCGCTCAATGAGGTTCCATGTTGCTGTTGATGTTGGTCCGATCATCCCGATAAACAAAGCAAGATCAAGCAGCCAAAGCGACATGTGAATGGATGCATCAGCCCGAGGTCCATAAACCCAAACGGGGAGCCAACAGGCGCGTTCAGAAAAGGGCCCTTGCAGGCACGATAGGGAATCAAGGGTCCATTTTCTGAGCTCCCTGGAAAGATACAACTAATTGCAGTAGTGATCGATTCCCTTTCAAACCAACAAGGGGGAACAACAAAAAATCTTCAGCAAATGGAAGGAATGAACCCCAAAAGATCCAGGAAACTAGAGATGGTTCAGCGCAGGTGATGCCAACTTCCCCGAAGCGAGGCACCAAGAGCCAAAGCGCGGTTCCAGTAAACCCCGCAATGACTTCCGCCAGGGCACCGGGGTGCCGGGGTTCTATTCAGATGCCCAGCGGATTTCCATGGAAAAAAGAATCGGCATCCTTTGGCTGGTTCGTTGAGTTTAAAGGAATCGGAACCCTTCCCCAAAAAAGTCGAAAGGAAGCAAAAGGGGAAAAAAGGGAACCCTTCCCCACTGGGAACCAAAAGGGCTCCCCAAAACAAGTCGAAAGGGAAGCAACCCACTGGGCTCCCAGGATCTTGTCATCGTCTCAGGACTGGGCTCAAAGAGGTCGATGCTGCCAGACTGGTCCTCATCCACCTGCAAGGACTGTTCTGGGCTACATATACCGTACGTACGTATGTATACATATCTTATGTATATATATATATATATGTACAAATATATATATATATGGAAAACACAGTGTTTTTGCAGTCTTTTATGAAGAAAGAACAAAAGGTAGTTCATGGGGGGGGACCTGACCATATATATATATATATGTATATATATATATGTGTTTATTGATTTACTCATCTATGTTTCATGTGTGTTTATTAATTTATTTGTTCATTAATTTATTCATTTGTTTCGACCCTATAGTGTACAAGCACGCCTTTTTTTTTAACTCTCTCTCTCTCTCTCCCCCAATAAATAAATAAATAAATGAATGAATAAATAAATAAAGCATAGATATGTAAATCGAGTTTCTGGACCCCCATCCCCGAGTCTTCCCCTTGGGGAATGCTTGGAACCCTTCTAGAAGGAGCTATACCCAGACATGAATTTACTTTGCTTTCTCAGCCTCCTCCCCCCACACGAAGCTTCAACGCACCGAGTACTCTTTCTCTTTCGGCGCTTCAGTACGCGATCCGGGGGTTCTTGGACTGGATGATTCCCCGAAAGAAGCCGATGTGCAGCTTTTAAACTGTACCGCATTTTTTGGCCCTCGGCTTTTCCCAAGTGGACGGTGCCTTCTCGACGGCTATTTTGTTTAAAAACAAAAAAAAAAATGAGCGAGCACGCAAAGGTTGGGGGAGCACGCAAACCCGGAGAAGGCCCGCCAAACCCGGAGAAGGCCCGGAAAAAATCTGAGTCTGTTGTGTGATGCCTGTGCTGCTGCTAATGCTGTTAATGCCTTTGATGCTGGTGATGCCTCTGAACTGGTGATGCCTAAAAGTATCTAGCCAGAGCCAAGGCTGACAAACAGACATTGAGAAGGCACGCTTCTCTGGGGGAAGCTGCAAAATCCAGAGGACGCGTGTCCAGACTTCCGAGTCAAGTCTTCTCCTGTGGCTCACGGGGCTTCCCAAATTCCCTGCGAGCCCTAGGACTATCTCAGCCACAGGTCGGAGCCTCTCGAACCCGCAGGAATGTTGGTCGTTGGCGTCCTGGTGGCTTCCCTTTGCATACTCAACAACTGTAACCTGAGGTACATTCCACGAAGCAAATATATATATATATATATAAATATATATATATATATATGTGAAACGTGTTTGTCGTCAAAGTG